TGATGGGCTTTCCTTTATAGGTAATCTGTTTCTTTTCTCTAGCAGCTTTTAATATTCTGTCCTTTTGCTGGAGATCTGGGAACTTGACTATTATATGTCTCAGTGTAGTTTTATTTTGGTTGTGGTTGGAGTTCTATACGTCTCATTTTCCTGTATATCAGGTTCTGTTTCCATACTTGGGAAATTTTCCGCTATTATTTCTGCAAATATTCTTTTTATGTCAGTTGTGTTGCCTCCTGCTGTTTCCTTGACATAAGTCGTACATTATTCCTCTTTGCCTCATCTTGCAGGTATTGAATTGACTTTTCCTGGATCTTTGTTGATTTTATGAGATCCTTTCTTTCATGGTCGCTAGCTGCCATGCTGTCTTCAAAGTCTGAGATTCTATCTTCAGCTTCATTCAAGCGGTTTTGGTAGCTTTCAATGGCAGCTTTGTTTTCCTGGAAGTCCCTTTGAATCTGGTTCATGCGTTCTAAGTCCTTCCTATATTTTTCATTGAATGCTTCTTTCCATTGCCTTTGTTATTCTATTTTATGTTTCTTCAGACTTTTTGAGCAGTTCTTTCATTATTATTGTCATTTCATTTTTTTTGCCTGAGAGATTATTTCTGATCTCATCTTTTCTATGGCCTTATGGAGTTGTTTCTTTACTTCCATTGAAATCATTTCAGCTATCTCAGGCATATGTTTACCAAGTTCTCCTATGTCGATGTCTCCTGGACTTGTTCTGAGTGGGGTGGAGTTCTGGGATTGTGTTTTAGTCCTTCGTTTTGTCATGTTTGCTACCGGATGCAGAAAGCTCAGTTTCCCTCTTCAGTGGCTGCACAGCAAAGGCCACTAGTGTCCCTAGTTTTCCTGTTGGTCAGGTTTGCCCTTCAGTGACCCCTGAGAAGCACTACTTAGTCTCGGGCTTTCCGGCAGTTGTTCATTTGTATCTAGTTATCCCAGGTCTCAGACGCGGGCATTGGTGTCAGCTGACAGCAGACCGTCTGATCCAGCGTCCCCTTGCAGTTCAGGGCATGTGCATGGCCCAGACTCGCATTGCACTGGTGTGACAATCCCGGTCCAGTGGACCTATGTCCCCAGGCAGTTCAGGGTACAGGAAAAACCCAGACACAAACTGCAGGGTCGACAGTTTGTGAACCACCTGATTCTGTATCTCCAATCAGTTCAGGAAACATTCAGGAACCAGATGCAGGCTAGATGGACAGCAATCAGACTGCCTGTGCCTGTGACCCCCCCAGAGGGTCCAGGCACAAGTAAAGCACAGACTTGAAAAGCTAGACCAGCAGCTCTTGGAGCACTTGCTCACTCGGTGCAGGGCGCGTGCAGGAAGGGCCCACACGCGAACCCCAGTGAGAGCAGTCCCCGGGGCTTCTGAGTGAGGACCTCCTGTCTGCCGCGGGTGCACAGAGGGCAGAGACTCAGACTGTAATGGCAGCGGGGTCCTGGGTTGCCTGCTCTGCCCCCAGGAAGTAGATGGGAAATACCTGGCTCTCTCTTTGAGTTTCAGCTGGGAATGGTGGCAGTGTAGTAAAGCATGGATTCAAACTGTGGGACCAGCAGCTCTTGGAGCACTTGTTCACTCGGTGCAGGGCAGGGCGGCACGTGCACCCCAGTGAGAGCAGTCCCTGGGGCTTCTGAGTGAGGACCTCCTGTCTGGCTCTCTCTGCGAGTTTCAGCTGGGAACCGTGGTGGTGGGAGTAAAGCATGGGCTCGATTTGCGGGACCAGCAGCTCTTGGAGCACTTACTCACTTGGCGCAGGGTGCGTGCAAGGAGGGCCCACACATCCACCCCAGCTAGAGCAGTCTCTGGAGCTTCTGAGTGAGGACCTCCTGTCTGCTGCGCATGCACGGAGGGCAGAGACTCAGACTGTAATGGCCAAGGACTTACAATTTTGAAACAGAATTCTCCATGTCTGTAGGTTAGGGTTTCAAATATCTTTAAGAAGATGAAATGGAAACTAGAAAAGTTATATGGACTTGCCCAAGGTCCTACCAACAGCTGGACTGTCAGTCTGAGAGGAAATTATACTTTTGCTGATCCCCTTTTCAGAATTCCTTCAATTATACCACATGTGCCTCTTTACGCTGGAGCTCATATCCTTAAAAAGAGGAGTTTGTCATGATAATCAGAAAAATAATGTATATTTAAATGAACAGTTTTCCAGAGAAAGTACTTCAAATTTTTAAAAATGAAATGGCCTCATTTCAAAGGGATCAATAGTCAAAGTGACTCTTGCTAACAATGTTTTTTTAAGTTTTAAAATGCTTTTAAAAAACAGGCACTGGCTGTGGTGGCGCATGCCTGTATTTCCAGCACTTGGGAGGCTGAGGCAGGAGGATCTTGAGTTCAAGGCTAGCCTGGGCTACATGAGTTCAGTGCTAGCTTGGACTGCAATGTGAGTGTTTATCTCAACTGAAAGGAACAGGTATACCAAAAGTTTAAGAAGCAATACAGTGCATGATTACATTTTAATACTTTAAAAGTCACTGACTTTCAAAATAATAAATTGCCACAGTGCTAGGAAGGCTTCACACCTTTTATCTTCACTCTCAAAAGATCTGCAAGTGAGATATAAATCCTCACCTACTCACCTGCCTAACTTCATCAGCCTACTGATGAGAAAAATGAGGCCAGATGATTGGCCTAAGGCAAAAAACCATTAGTCAGAAAACCTAGACAAGCAGCTAGGTTGCTGGACATTAAGCCTACCTCCTTCCTGGAGATAAGGAAATTTATTCATTTAATTTCACTGAATACTTTCCGGTTCTTTCTTTTTTGAAACAGGGTCTTGCTATGTAGTTCAGGCTGATCTTGAACTCACTATGTAGCCCAGGCCGGCCTCCAACTCCCAGCAATCCTCCTGTCTCAGCCTCTCAAGTGCTAGGAATCACAGCCATGCACCACCATACCCAGATTTTCAGTGGACACTTTCACACGGGAAAGAAAACTGACAGTATAGTGAAGCTGTCTTTGTGAAAAACTGGCAGTGAATGTAGTACTAAGGCTTTCCTCCAGGGTATGTGCTTTCCTTATATACTATACCATTACCTTCTATATCATCAAGTGAAACTCCACATCAGCACCAGCACTTTCAATGTGCAACGTGTGCAACAATTTCGGGATGGATCAAGCCACCTTTTTACTGAAGGGCAGGAAGTCCTATAGGCAGGAAAGCAGTACCTCTAACCAAACTGGGACCTGTGCTCACTTCACACAAAACTGGGACTGAACTATCTGTAAGTCCTAAAGGAAAATATGATAGTCAAGGCCTGAGTTCAGACAGAAGGGAACAAAGACAGTGGATGTTTCCCCTGCCTCACAAAAGTTGCTCACTGGTCTTTCACTTAGAGCTTTGAGCAGGGCATGGGACAGAGATAGGGAAGTAGTATTCTAAGGTGGTTTGGAATTCTGCTTGGGTTGAGGACTATGACCATGGGCACACTTTGCCTCTGTTTCTTCATTTTCAAAGTAAGGACAAACACTCTGCTTGCTTGGAGTCATGAAGATAAATAAGGCAGGAGGTATACTTGACACAGTAGGATGTCAGAGAGTTTTTGCATGCCCAGAATCTGTGGGTGGTGGGGCAGACCTCCTGAAACTGCCCTTTCTCATATGGTACCTAGTTGCTGTCTGGTTTGCCAACTCTGTGCCCACAGTATTAAGCTATCAGCCACTTTCTTCTGACTTTATTCTGTTGCTTCCCTTGCTGTCAAGACCTCATACTTGGCGGGCAGAGCATCTGCCACCTTCTCATGCCTCCTGGAGCCAGCCTGGGCTTACCTTCCTCTAGGAATTTTTTAAGCACCACCTGAAGAACGAAGAGGGCATGCACCCCACCAGACAGGCTCCTCTGTCAGCATGCGCACTGTGTCACATTGCTCGTCTCCTCCAGGGCAGGAGCTCTATCTAATTTAATTTTGTACTCTTGGTGCCTTGCACAGTTCTTGGTATCTAGTTGGCATTCATTAAATAATCAAGTAGATAAATGGATAAGTAGACCTTGCTCTTCCTTTCTCTTTTAGCTTGCTTTCTTTTTTTGCTATTTCTCCCAACTGAACATGCTTTCTCCGTATTTTCTGTTCTCCTTCTGACACCTTCATCCAGTGGTGATGAACCTACGGCATGGGAGCCACAGAAGGCTGTTTGTTATCATTGAAAGCTCTAAAAGGTTCGCCATCATTGCATTCTCTCTGAGCTGAGGCAAGAGTACAATACTCCAGAGGGGTGTGAGCGTGAGGGAGAGGAGAGAAGGCAAAATGGGTGTGAATGGAATTGCATGGCTCTCCAGAAGTAAGGAAAATAACAACTGTGTGTCAGTGATGGGACAGGAACTTTAATAGTTCATGACACTTGGTCCCACATAGTTGTCAGAAAGAAGAGTTTGAGTCCACAGAAAAGTGGATTCAACACCAATGTAAGCTGCTGAGAATGTAGTCACCCGCTGCTGTTTGAGGTCCAGGCAGGCCACAGGAAGGAGGGTAGCCCAGGACAGTCAATTAGCAGTATGGGATACCAAGCCTGGTTCTTTCCACTGTAGTTGGTGTCCTTTAACTATGCCACACCTGCCCCAGGGAGAGGCTCTGCCAGTATCTTCCTTCAAGGCCAAGCTCCTTCACAGGACAGCCCAGCAGCAGCTAGTCCGGTTCACTCATTCGAGCACCGATTATTGAGCAAGCGCCTCTTGTACGTAGGTGACACGATTAAAAGATGAGTATGGCACTGCTGTCCTCAAGAAGCTGTAGACGTCTACAGAGCACCACAGAGCGGTGTGAGGGCCACAGGCAGAGAGCGGGGAGCAATAATACCAACAACAGTGAGGCTCGAGATGAGCCTTGCAGCTCCAAGTGTGTGAGCACACAGGAGGGCACGCAGACAAGGACAAGAGTAAAGTGTGAAGGTCCCACGGCGGGAAAAAGCATGGAGAGGCACCAGGACTAAGAGCACGCCTGCTTTTTCAGTTTAAGGCATTATAACATGATTTCAAAACTACTTACGCTACATAATCCTGTTCATCTTCTGCCTGAAAGTGATAGGTTCTGTTATCTGAAATATAAAAAAAGAAAAAAAGTGAAGCCAGGCACAGTATGGTGTCTTCAGACATAATGCAGATTTTACAAGTTCCCAGAAAGTCTGGGAAGGTAGCGCAGTCATAGCGCCCTTGCAGAGCACATGCGGCTGAGTTCAATCTCCAGCTGAGAGGAAAATAAAAAGTCCCCGGGGCGGCCACCCACACAGTTAGGAATTTAATATTATTCCTCTTTAACATTTTTTTCTTTTTACATCTATATTTAGCAGCTGAACAGTTTACTTTGCCAATACTATTTTTCTTAAGTACAAGAGAAACACTAGAATAAAAGACCATGCAAATAGGAGGCACCTCTTTTAGAACAGTGAGAAGGGGTGAGGTGCCATCCAACCCAGGTGGGCTCAGTGACAAGTGCGTGACTGCCTGCGTTTTCTGTGAAGGAATTCTTTCCCCACACGAGGCCCCACCTGCAGGGGAGCTCTGAAACCCTGCCCAGGCTTTGGTCTGCTCGCTGGTTGAATTGGGCTTCCAGGAAGAAAGGATCAACCTCTGCCACCCAAGGAGGGGAAGGAGAGGCCTAACTTGGACATGCCGCTGGGTGCTTTAACACATTCAGGTCAAAATAACATGTGCTGAGTACTTCCTTCAGTGACTGCTCTTAGCTAGGCACTCACGCTCTTCATTTCTGAGAGGGAAGAGAACACATGGACAGAAGTACACGCGAGCCTTGGCCGAATCCCTGCTTTACTGCTGCATGGCCTTGAGGTCACTGAAACTGTGTCTTCATTGTCCTCTTCTATGAAATGGGAAACTGACAGGGCATTACTGGGAATCAGATAATGTATAAGAAGCATCTGGCACATAGATGCTCAATAACTGATGAGTATAACTGACAGGTTCTCAAGTCTAGAAGTTCTTGGTTTTCTGAAGATGTATTATTCATTTCAATTTTTCATATTTCATGCTTCTCAATAACCCAAGAAATGTCTTGGCTGTAAAAGCCACAGGGAATCTGAACTTCACAGAGATGCTGCAGAATCCAGCTCAGACTTTATGAAAACAGCCTCAGAGCTGATTCACACTTTTGGGTCAGCAATGTATTTGAGCTGCCACTCACACAACTGCATCAAAAGGATTTCAAGGCAGGAAAGTATTTTGTGCTTCTACAGATCATGCCCTTTGGCTGCTGGCCTCCTTGCTCGGCTGGTACAGAAGGAACAGTGCCTAAGGTTGGTGTTGCAGGGCCTCAGGACAGTGGTGAGGGCTACTTCCCTGGCCCTGTTCTCCTCATCCCTTAGAAGGTGGTGATGTCCTTTCACCTGTACTGGGGCCAGCAAGTCCATCTACAGAACTGGGCAGGCAAGGGGCAGCCTGGTGCTACACACTGTGAGTGGGCAGGCTGCAGGTCGTGGCGTGGGTGGCTCGTTATGCTCCTGTCATGGATGAAAAGCAAACTGTGAACATGGGAGTAAGAAAGGGAGGGGGCAGCAACATCAGTTCATGTAGTGTGAAGGCAATTCTGCTTGAAAGCAAGGAGACTGTTTTTCCAAAGATCCTGCTCTTGCAGATACTGGATGGACAGTGGATGGCTGCACTCCCTAGTCTACGTCAGTGCTTCTCACCCACAGTGCACATCAGAGCTACCTGGGGGCTTTTAAAAGATCCTGTCTGGGCCTCATGTCAGTGACTGTATTTTAGGAGATCTAGAAGAGAACTGTGAATATATTTAGAAATCAATCTCCAAGGGAATAAAGTTGTAGATTCACAGTTAAGCACTGCACCAATTCAACACACAAATCTAGATTCTACTGAGCTTATAAATATTTTCAGATCTGACACCACGTCTTCCAAAGTCCAAGTGGGTTCAATGCAAATGAAGAGAACAAACGAAGCTGGGTGTTGTGGCACACGATTTTAGGCCCAAGTACTTGGGAGGCTGAGGCAAGAGGATCATTTAAGTCCAGGGATTGGAGGCCAGCCTGGGCAAACAGCAGTACTTTGTTTTCCAAAAAAAGGGTCGGGGGAGGTATAGAGAGAGGGTGGGAGGGAGAGAGAGGAAGGAGGAGAGACAGACAGGCAGAAAAAGATTCACTCTGAGGAATCTTTCAAGAGCTGCACATACAGGAATAACAAGAAGCTGTGCAAGTACTAAGGAGCCCACTTTGGAAAAGTTGCTACTTCAATACTCCCACAAGAAACACGCAGATGTCAGAAGCCACAGAACTTGATTCAGAAAGACAGATTTCTAAAAAAGACTCACGTGATATCAGGTCAAAGGACTTCTTGTCCTCAGCATTTGGCTTCACCTGGCAGGTGAGAAGGTTCAACTTGGCTGGCTGCCTGTTAGACTAGAAAAAGAGAAACAGAAGTTACATGCAGGCTCTATGCCTGCAGAGCACCACACAGTTCACAAAGTGGTCAGTGGTAAAAAGAATGCATTTTGAGCAAGGAAGAAGACACACATCTGGGAATTAATCCACATTTAAGGCAAAAAGCACCAGATCTACACACACTCAAGCACATAGTTAGCACTTTCAAGGTTTTCTTCAGGTCAGGTGTGGTGTTGCACACCTGTAGTCCCAGCACTTGGGAGGCTGAGGCAAGAACACTGCTGTGAGTTAGAGGCCAGTCTGGGCTACATAGTGAGTTCAAGCCCAGCTTGAACTATAAAAGACACCCTGTCTCAGAAAGAGAAAGACAGAGAGACAGACTATCTTACTATGGAATGCAGCCGAGCTATATTTCGTTCATTAAATCAGACGATCACACTAATCAATTATCCCAAGCCTAATGTCCCAAGTATCCATGAATTTTGGTTGCAATGCAAAGTGACACTACTTCCCTCAAAATATGAGGATAATTACCACCTCCAGGTCATTGCTTAATGAGTTCCAGTACCTGGAGAGAGGGAGGCTATGATATCAGTAAATCTCTAAATCACATATATAAAACAGACCCTATGGCATGTAGACAGTCATGCTAACTTAAGGAGTCTCACCGTGTAATCATTCTGGCCCTCCTGCCTGCTCTTGTCTAGGGTCACATGCTCACAATACTCATGCCAGGATCCCTGCTTCTTATAGGGGCCGATAGAAGTTAATGAACTATGTGGGAACCTGAGCTGGGCTTTGCTTGAACAGAGGAAGCCTGTGGAAGTACACAATAGAACTCTCTGGTTGTATGTGTACACCTTCTTCAGCTGACGGTCATGACACTAAACATCTTCACATTTCCACAATGGGGAGATGTGGACAGAGAGAGTTCACATCAATGATCCAACTACAGCCTCAAACAACAAAAGTGTCAAAAGCTCAAAGTAAGCTTCATCAGGACCCTGGATCTTTCCTAAATAATGGGCCTTAGACAACAAATTTCTGTTTATCTTCTTTTGCTCTCTGAACCATTTTTGAGATTCTTTCCACTCTGTGATTTTGATGAAATTAAACACAGAAAACAATACCCCTTATCCCATACCTACCTGGAAGAACACCACCTTTGAAAAGTGAAATTGTAAGGGGTTTCATGATTGTTGCATGTGCCATTCATTTAGAAGTGGAACTAGCAGTAAAGTACAGGAGAGTTTTGCCTAGGAGGAAACAGTACTTGGGAAAGGACTCCTGAGCTACAGAACTGGCTGCTGAACCCAGAGCAGGAAGCAGGAGCACACAGGCCACAATGTCTTGGAACAGTCCTGCAATCCTGCTTGCAAGGCATCACACTCTAAAGTTAGCATCTGCAGCCACAGATGTAGCCAGTCCACTGTAAAAGGAACTGTTCATCCTACTCTCATCTTCTCACATGTGGATAAAATTTCTGGATTTCCCATTGGAATGACAAGGACATATGACTGCCTGAGAAGGAAATGACCCCAGTGAATGGTGAGACTTGTTAAAACATTATGTTCTACTTTGGAGTCCACATTTACAGAAGGACGTAGAAAAGCTTAGGGAGACCAAGAGATGATTAAAGGGGTAGGGAATGGAAATGGAAACTTTTAAGATGGGTTAAAGGTATTACTTAGTCCAGAGGAAGAAAGCTGGGGGTGACTTAACAACCATCTTCAAGTTCATGAAGGTTGTTATTGGGAAGCCTAGGCAGCTGTTTTCCATCTGTATACACAAAAAGAAAGGCACTCAAATTGTACAAGATTTGGGCCAGACATAAAGAAGAACTTCCCAAGCTTATATTGATTATGCATAATAAGCAGTTTCAGGATTCTTAAGAAATCTCAAAAAATTTGACAATTTTGAGTTCATTTACATTTGAACGTGGCACAGTTTTAAAGCAGTGTTTTGTTTTGTACTAGAAATCAAACTCAGGACTTCATGCTTGCCAGGCAGGTGCTGTACCACTGAGATAAATCCCCAGCCCTAAAGCAATGGTCTCTTACTCTTTTCTAATCTAGCATTCTCTGGCTGTTTCTTACCGATACACCAAGCCATAGATAGAAAGTCTTAAAAAACGCAAAGAAAAGAAAAGCCACTCAGTTCATTATTAATTGCATTTCTGGCAAATTAAATAGCACTGCTCACCTCTCATTTTTAAGCAGTGACTATCTCTAAGTATTCTGCTGGGAAAGGTGTGATGACAAGGGTTCTATACAGTTTACGTCACTCCATGATTGACCCACAACTTCAATGGTGATAACATATATTTATTCCTTTAGAAGTTTTTCAAGAACACCGAACTAATGGTAGCCACACCAGTATGAACCTCTTTTGATGTGGACACCTCTTGCCTATACACAGTGCACTTCCCCAAGCTGAGCTGCCAGTGAGGCATCTGGTAAGTGATCCATCATCCTAAATGTGATGTTTTAGTAATAAAGAACAGAATTTTTTTTGGCCGGGTACTGGGAATCAAGCTCAGGACCTTGTGCTTGCCAGGTACAAGGTAGGCGCTGTGCCGCATCCCTGGCCCCAAGAACACAATTTTTGACTAAGAAGCTGACACACCCAGTGATGAGCCCAAGAATATCAGAAAAGGGAGTGGTACGTTTGCTGAAGTCCAAAGACCCATGCATTACAAGCATGGAAATCACTACAGTAATAATAGTAATTCCAGATGGTTGTATAACTTCCCAAATTTCATAGCACTTTCTTGACCTTTAGTATTAAATTATAGATATACTGATTAAAGAAGATGTAATCTTTCCTGGGGTTTCAGCAGACTGAAGTAAAACTAGATGACTTGCCCTGGGCTACATCATAGTGGCATTGTTTAGGAAATGCTTTCATATTATTTTAGTGCAGGGGGGAAAAAAAGGCAAGACTTAGGAAATATCAGTGTATTGAGTCCTTGCTGTTCATGATTCCTGTCTCAATCAGAATGAAAACCCAAGCCTGCTCCCTAACCTCCAGGAACCACAGAGGGCCTTGGCTTGTGTGCCCTCACATGCCCTGACTTCCTTCGGGCCGTCACCACCAGCAGGCCCTCAGAGGGTGGTTTCTAGCTGACTGACCCCCCCAGCTTCTCATATCTGTTGTATTTCTTCCAGGCTCTTCTCCCTCCTTGTTTCTTGTCTTTGTTTGCACTAAGGGCATATGTTTATCTTCACCCCCAAAATATACCAGGCATAAAGCAGGTACTTGAATATTTATCAAATAGGACTACAGTTCAGGCACCTTCCATGTACTTTCATGTGCTCCTTGGGAGGGAGGTCTTGCTTAGAAACAGCTGATCAGATCATCAGGACCATCTCCAAATGTTTTCACTCAATAAATATTTACTTAGATACCTACTACGCCCTAGAGGAACACAGGTATTTGGTGTGCAATAAGTAACTGTAATAAACACTGGCAAGAAACTGTGGTACATGCTGAAACACCTACCACTGCAGAGACAACTTCTGCCCAAAATTTAGTGCATGACAACTCCTGGCTTTTGGAAGATATTTTGATTTAGGGGGTAAAATCAAAGTTTTTTTTTTTAGTGAGCACCTAAGCAGGTAGGTATTTTATGTAAGTTCCATTATTTCTTTTTCTTTGCTTTCTGACATGTGGTCTCACTGTCATTCAAGCTGGCCTTAATGACTGCGATCCTCCTGCCTCAGCTTCCCAAGCGCTGGGATTACAGGCATGCACCACCACACCCAGCCCATTATTTAATTCTTGCAGTAACTCTGTGAGCTAGGTACTGTTACTGAACCTATTTCATCAACGAGGAAACCCAGGGTCAGGAAGGTGAAGTAAACTCACCTGTTGGGAAAAAAAAAAAAGAGGCAAAGCTGAAAAACAAAACTCCTCCCACCTGTCACACTGACTGGGAAAACTTACAAAATAGGTAAAAACACCTTTGTTTTTCCTTTTCTGATTCTTCCTGTCCATAAATGCCCAAGTCCTCTTCCTTTCGCTCTGGATCACTGAATATATGCTGGCTGAGAAATCCCACCCATTCTTGACATGTGCGGCTACAACTAGAGCTCCCCACCTCTTTGGTGATCCTTCTAACAGCCCAGAGGAGAAATACTGCAGCTGATTAAGCAAGTGATTAAAACTGCTTTGCTGTAGACTGTCGATGACCGTGGAGGCCCTAATGTTCCCCACCACTGTAATCATGGGACTCATTTATAGTTGGCAGGTGTGTATGCATAAGAAAGAAATATTTGAGGAGCACGATTTCTAAGAAAAATCTGCTTTTGCCATAAGGAGCCTACTTGTGAGATTATGTCCCACACTAGGAGTAACATTAAATAATGCTACAATGTTAAAAAAAAAAAAAAGCTTCACAGGACTCCTGGTGAGAAGGAGGGCTGAGGTCACTGTTATGGCATCTGATGAATGTGCTATTCATCCTTTTTGACATTTCCACAAATGTTTATTGAGTGCCCACTATATGCCAGTATATAAGGTTTCGGTCAGCACAGGAAGCATTTTTCGATTTACTTTTCCCTCTACAGTATCCACTTCAATCTGTGCCTCCTTATCCAACGGGAACTTGTAAACCAAAAATCTCCCAATGCACAGTATTTGTCTGAAAGGCAGTAATTTGATGATGAGACACTTGAATTATGGCCTATGTTCCTGTTTTTAAAGTACCCTCATTTCATGGTATCAGCAGAGTGGAACAGGCTCCTGTCATTCTTTGGCAAGAAGGCATCATCATCCTGCGACGCGCGCGGCAGGCGCTGAGAGTTTTGTGTACACTTACTTCATTCTCACATGAAAGTCTTTTGTTTGTAACTTCACATTGGTAAGAAGATTTTCTTTAGTCTTTTTATCTTTTAATAGCCAATCATATAGACTGTAATCAACCAGCACCTTTCTTAATTTGTGTGCTCAAACTTAATGAGGTTTTATTCTCACTTTTCCGTTAGAATCAGTCACACTAGAAGCACATGACATGACAT